AGAAGCTGTTTTTGCAGGTTTTGCAGTTAGCTTTCAATGCACTACTACAGACAATGGAAGTTTATTTATATGCTATTTGTGTTTTATTTTATGGACTCTCTAATTCAGTGTTGAAAATAATAGCAGTCTAAATAAAGCTTTTGGCAGATCCTGCTTTTCTGCTTTCCACTGAAAAACAAACAAAACTTGATTAGAAAAGTAACCGATTAGACAAGTATCCAATCAGACACAATGCAACTTTGCAAGTTTGACTCTGGAATGTTTTTGCAGGTTTTGCAGTTGGCTTTTATTGCACTACAGACAATAGAAGTTCCCTTGCTCCATTTTAAGCATGAAAAACCAGTTTTTCCAAGTGAGAGTTTGAGAAAAATTCACCTAGTCTGGTTTTGTGAGGGCTTCAGGCACTCATCCGGGCAGTTTAGTTTTTTTATTTTTTGATAGTTTTTCAAGCATCACTAGATATTTCTCATAATATTTTATTGTTTTATTATAAGTTATTATTTACTCACTTGTATGTTGTTCCAAACCTGTATGACTTTCTGCTCTCTTTTTTTCTCATCTATTCCATGAAAGTCAATGGGGGCCAATGTTGTTTTGGACCCCATTTACATTTATTGCATGGACAAAAACAGTATTAAATGTACAAAATGTCTTCTTTTGTGTTCCACACAACAAAGAAATGCAGGTTTGGAACGACATGAGGACGAGTAAATGATGACAGAACCTTAATTTCTGGATGAGCACTGCCTTTAAGTATTAAAATTTCGCACATAACGACATGAGGACGAGTAAATGATGACAGAACCTTAATTTCTGGATGAGCACTGCCTTTAAGTATTAAAATTTCGCACATAACTTTTTTTTTTTATGTTTGTGCTGCATAAATAAAAAAAACTTGTTGGACTTTTTTAGGTTTGGTTTAATTAGCAATCACCTGGAAACCCACCCAGAAAACCCTAGCAGCCAACATCCTAGCAACCAACATCCCAACCAACTAGGATGGTTGCAACTCCAACCATCCTAGCAACCAACATAGCAACTAACGGATGTTACTATATAGCATATACTAACATCCTAGCAACCACCTACAATCTCGGACCACTGTGGATGAATTTTGAACAGGCAAGCATCAAATATTTTCTTAAAAAAATATAAAACATATTTTTGTTTATACTTGTAGTCAAATCATATTAATCCTGTTAGTGTTAGCCTAATTAATAATTATGTTTTAGTAAATATTTTTGACTAAATGACTACAATAGCTGTAGTTTTAAAATATAAAGCTGTCAAACATAGAAATTGACTTTATTCTGTCAATATTTCAAAATAAAGGACCATTTCTCCATCAGCCAGTCCTCCATCCATCGAAGTGTGTGTGTGTCTGTACTCCACCTGTTCTGTGTGATGATGAGGCACCTGTTCACGGCTGTGTTGATGTGTGTAATCTGATAATGCCATGCACGGCTAGGACACCTGAGGGACACAGGTTGTGTATCACTGCGGTACAGAGAGTTCTGACTGGATTCCTAGGGTCAGGAAGTTCTGTCCATCTAAACGGCCAGGTAAAAGTGCAGATTGCATCAAACAACTGCTTTTTTTCAGGTCATAAGTAGACACAGGTTTCCTTGAACACACTCACACCCAGCAGCGCGTCTCGCACGACTTCATTTGCATGGCTGCGCTGTTCCGCCCCTTGGAGGAACAGGCCCATTTCTGCAGCTATCTTTAACGTTTCGTTTTATGCTGGAGCTAAGTATGGATCAGGGTCAGAGTCTCAAGATGGGTTTATTAAGATCTGTAGGCCTTTGTGGGTGACTGAATGTGTGTGGGAAAGTGAACGTGTGTATTGCAAGTGCTATTGGGAATTTCCTACTTCCCACTTCTGAAGTCGTGACTACGAGCTCCTCGCATTCAAGTGCTTTGTTGACGGAAAGAACAGGAACCATGGAGGAAACCAGGTTTATTCTTGCTTATTTGTTGGGAAAATCTTATTAAAGCTATAGTTATATTTAGTGTCCCATTCATTGACAGCCATATAAACATTCACCGCGATAAAAAATATCCCTATGAGAAACTGACAGGAAATGACGTCGTACTCCTGAAATGAGTCTGGAATTTGAAATAGTCTCTAAAAATAACCTCCATTATGTTGCTATGCCAAGAAACAGGAAAAAAACCATTCAACTCATACAGTAAATGCTGTCTTGTTGCTTGTGAAGCGCTCTCTGGTGAGAGACATAAAACTGTTGTGTTGTGTCTGCGGTCTGACCGTTGTGTTGGAGGAAGTGCAATCATAGGAACTGATCGATTTTGCAGAACAAAGATGGAATTGAACAAGACTTGACAAAATCAGGGATTTTTCTCTTATCATCAGTGCAGTGGCATGGCATGATTGTTGACATTTGCATTTTTTGTAATCTAATGCAAATATTTCTAGTATGTCGCAAAAGCAGATGACATGTAAATACCATTTCTCATTCTTTTGTGTGGCCATTGATACCTTTATTCACATACAGTACAACTGTGATCATATTCACATCCCCCCTGGAGAATCCTTAAGATGTTATCTTCTTTAACAAAAATCATAAGATAAAATAATTATAAAATTTGCACAAATCACAGAATCCACAAACGGTCATTGCGCATGAGGTGGCGACGCAAAATATTAGGAAAAGGCTGTGTAAACTTAAAAAAGATCATTTGTGTAAAATTTTGTCTTGTGAGATATGTCTCATTGCAGCTAAATGGTACTAAATAAAAACAAAATGCAATTTCTTTTTAATTCAGATTCTGCAAGGATTATATAGATAGATCTGAGAAGTGTGTATGTGGATGGAGCATCTTTTGTTTAAATGGTGGTCTCAGTGTTTCCTATCCAGCAGGTGGTGGCATTGCCATCCTTTTCCTCTTCAATCTTACATTCACCTTTCCTGCAACATCAGAGGATTGCTCAGAAACATGGAAAAAAGGAAGAGGGATTTGCTTGAAATAACATACACTGATAAATCGGACGCAATGAGACCATGAATGTGCAAGTAAATGGGGTCGGTTTTGATTTCACGTTGACTAAAGTTGGTTTTCTATTATATGCTAAATAATAATCATAATAATAATAGAGGTGGTGGACTGTAGCGTAATTGTTACAGACTTATAGATTTGAGCTGGTAAATTCAAATCATTTTTCTCCAAGCAGGACACACAGATGGTTTTTTTTTCCACTGTTCATTTCTTACTGCTAATAAATGAATAGTACTTTTGGAAAATAAATAGATGTACATTGCTGTTTGGTAATATTTCTTTGAAAGAAGTCTCTTATGCTCACCAAGGGTGCATTTATTTGCACCTTAAATTTGTAAGTACAATCAACTTGGATGTTTAAGTCATTTCAACTTAAATGACATTAGACTGATTTTAAAAAAATTAGTTGAATCTTGTATAACATAAAAAAGTAGAAAATTGCTTAACTTATTTTGAGTGAAAGCAATGTAAAAACACATGTTGTCATAGCTTACTAATCATATATTTTTTAACAGTGTTTTCTATTTGAATATAATTTAAAATGTAATTTATTGTGATCAAAGCTGAATTTTCAGCATCTTTACTTCAGTGTCACATGATACTTCAGAAATCCTTCTAATGTGCTGATTTGCTGCTCAGGAAACATGACTGTCTTATTATTATTTGATGAATAGAAAGTTCAAAATAACATAATTTATTTGAAATTTAAATCTTTTATGATAATAAAATATCTTTACTGTCCCTTTTGATCAATTTAATGCATCCTTGCTAAATGAAAGTGTTCATCTCAACTCTTAAAAAAAAAAAAATCTTACTGACCCCAAACATTTAAATGGTATACTAGAGGACATTGTGGCCTAGAATAAAAGATTACGAGGACAAACTTGATGCGACTGTCATTGATTCACACTGATTATTTAAGAACACATGAAGAAAATGTTGTAAATGGGTTTAAATTTGATATCATGTTGACTTTAACCACAGCGTGTTCCCTAGAATAATTTGTTTTGTAATAAAATGTCAATTAAGCTGAGGTGGGCTTCTTTCACAGTGACTAAGGGACAGCTAAGCAGGTTTGGTTGCCATGATGTCCCACTCCATGGTAACAGCCAGCAGATCTCTCGCCTCCATCACTTAAAAGACAGTAATTACTTCCACACTGATTCGCCAGCTCTGTGAGCATCCGTCACGCACAGAAGTGCGCCCAAGAACAAGGAGCACAATCAAATGGCTCGTATTGACACTCAGTGTTTAAAGTAAGACCGACAGTAAACGAACAAAACTGCGATGTTTGTTATACGTTGTCGAATTGATATTCAAGCGCATTCACCGGTGTTCTCTTGCGCTGATCCATAATGCAACAGCACAAGGGCCTTGAAATGGAAATGACACTCATTGTGCTTTTGGGGTGGAGTGGCATCGCCGTGTCGTCCTATTAGAGGACCTGAATAGACACAAGGTGTCCTCACTAAAGCCATCATCTTTACGATTAGCTTTACAATGGTTAAAAAAACGGCATGCTGTTTAAACCTGATAGCGTTCTCGTGGGTTAAACCTCATAGATCAGCTTCACAGCTGTGGGTGTTGCATGTCGCAGGTTGTTTTGCGCCAGAATTGGTGCTATGTCCTCTTTTTCTTAAGCAATATGCATAACAGTCTGTTTAAAAGCGGAAGCAGCTTTGCAAAATGTTCATGAGGGAGATAATTATCATAAAACCACTAATTGTTTTCCTGTAATGCACCTGGTGTCTGCCCCACATAATATGTGCCAGGAAGACTGTATAACGTGATCTAGGAAGTGATGGCGGCAGTTTGTGCTCGTGTACGTCTTGCACAAACTCCCAGGGTTAAGCTGATAATTGGTCATTATTTTAAACCGGAGGCTTCGATGCACCCTGCATTCCCTCCTACCGGCTACCTCCTGCCTAGTCGATGGCTCTTTCCTATGTGATGTGTGCTGCTGCTTCCCAGTGAGCCGTGTTGTTTGTGGGTGGATGTTTCTCTTCCTGTAGGCTTGAGTTGTGTTGTTCATCTCTGTCTGTGTGCTGTGTTGTGTGTGTGTGTGTGTTGGGGGAGGCTGTCTCACCTGTTCATCTCTTGGACTTTCTCTGTCAGTTCACTGTGAGGAGACGGTCAGGGAAGGAGACAGGAGCTAAACTCTCAGGTCGTATAATATCTTTTTTGTTGTTGTTGTTGTTGTTGTTGGATGTTGGCTAATATCTGGAGAGAAATGCAGAGTTAAGCTTTAAAACTTAGTGTTTAGTGAGGTTTGTACTCTATGTGGACATTTAGCAGTGAGTTTGGACCAGTTGTTCTTATATTGAGTACTTTTTTTGCATATGCTTTGTGTATTATAAAATCAATATAAATGCAGGTATAATAACAAATGATATGGACAGCTTAGTAGTGCAAATTCTTAATTATATTGAGAAATATTATTATAATTTTACAAATTGAATATTTATTTTATTATGAATACTATTAAGAAGTAATAGAAATATAGTAATGTTTTTAAATAGAATAATATTAATAAAAAAATAGTAATACAAAAAATAGTCATTTTATATTATTTTTATATTGAAAATAATATTATATTTTAAAAATGAATTATTATTATATGTAAATTATATAATTATGTATAATGACCATACGATATATATATATATATATATATATATATATATATATATATATATATATATATATTCCATATAAGGGATTTTATAAGGGATTATATTGATAATTTGACATTTTAAGAGATACTTCAGTTGTGTTAAAGTAATTTAAAATTATTATTAGAAATATTTAAAATAGTCTAAGGCTGTGCTTTTAATTAAATCTGTCGCGATGTAAACAAACAGAACCACTAATCATTATGTAATCAGTGACAAACAATCGTGATATTATTGTCTCACTTTTTTTTAAGATTTAGATGGAGCTGATCAAACTCATCTTTTGGTACCAAAAAAAACCCACTTCATTAATTACATACCATTGCTAGATATGACCCTGACAGTAATTAGTCTTGATTGAGTCTCACTTCCATACCCTGCGTGATGAGCAAGAATAGTTGTTTTTTCTATGGAAAAGTGTTTGGTGCGGACACACATTCTTTTTAGGACAATTGTCAGTGATTTTTCAATGTAATGTACTGTCACTCCTACTGTAGTGCAATACCATGTTTAGTGTTAATAATAGAGTGCCTATACAATACTTCATCACAAAAAAATCATCAATAAGTATCATTCCTTACCCTGAGAGTTTTGTCTAGGTCATATCCATCTCTTAATGAGATGAGACTAGTTACGTTACTATAATTAGTACAGGCAGTCACTACAGAAAGCCCTTATAATCTGCCCCGGACATCCCCGTGTGATAATCAGGACGTTAGCCCAGCAGAGCTTCATTTCCTTGAGTGCCTTTCACGTCATGATGGCATGATGTCATCACCTGTGGATTCACAATGCGCCTTTGTAGGCAACTGGCTTTGCTAGTATCAACACGATTTGTAAGGCAAATTGTCCCGTCGTAAACCCCTGGAAAATCTGTGCTAGGACAGGCGGAGTTTGCTTTCTGCGTTCATAACAATGTTAATGACCAGTATGAACTCTCATCTCTAGTCTTTCCTTCTGAAAGTACCAGCATACTGTATGTTGTGTTGTCGTTGTGTTGTGGAGTCCCCATCAGGGTTTTTAACTAAGCTAACCAAAAGACATTCTTGGTAGACCAGATTCACTAGCTGCTATTCATGCTAGTCAGTTGTTGACGAGGTGTTTTCGTAAAATAATTGCCTAAATTTGATGATGTCGGGAAGCATTGGCTTGTATTGGGACCATCTAGATTATCTCGATTTTAAGGATTAGCTTTAAATCTTGCTCAATGGAGGTCAGTGTGACAAGCTTTCAGTAGTCTCTGAACGTAGTGCTAAAATGCTAAATATATGCTGACGGGATCAATTTTCAATCAACAGCCTCAGGGGGAACATTAGAAAGGGAACTGTATCCTTCCAGCCATCATGGACACTTTTTTCAGACGACATTTTAAGAGGAAGGAGGCAGGAGAAGCCGTGCACGACGGCCATGTACCTGAACCCTGTCGACACAGGAGGCCGAGCATTGCGGTGCCAACCAGCCGTGCCCGTCGGCGCTCCAGCGTTGGCCTTCCGTCCACTGCATTGGCCCAGCGACGCCGATCCAGTGTCCAACTACTGCCATTACCCCGAATCACTGGCAGTCAACCGGTACAGAGAAGCAGTGGAAGACGGCGCTCCAGCACCACCACCCCGAAAGCCAATCCTCGCTTTGCCGTACGCCGGAAGAAGGTAGGCAAGCTCCGCAATATAGACACACACCTCCTGGGCCCTTCCATGCTGCTGGCCAGCCTGATTCAGATGACCGAAGAGGAGGAAGAGGACGAGGAGGGCCGTAGTCCATTGCCAGGGCAGGTGGAACTTAAGGGAAGCTGCCCGAAGTTCAGGAGTCACACGGATGTGCTGTTTTTAGAGGGCGAGAGTGACAGCGATGAGTCCAGCGGACACTCGGATGAGAGTAGCCACTCAGGGCTGCGCAAGGGGCACCTGGAGGAGGCCAGTGTGTCAGACTGGGAAATCAAAGAGTCCTCTGTCTTATGCCAGCCGGACTGCCTTCCTCTGGCTGTGGTGGCAGAGCGTGTCCAGGCCCACCCGTTGATCAGAGTTCCCCGCTGCCTCAGGAGGAACTCGTCCCATTATGGCCACGGGGAGACGGGGACGCACGTCCGCTTCTGCCGCGGCAGCCAGAGGAGGCGCCGTCGCCGTGTATCCACCATCTCGAAAGTGGGAAGCCCCTGGCCAGGAAGAGGCATGCCGCTACCTAACCGAAGAAGCTCCACCTGCAACAGGGCTCAGGCGACTCTCAATCCTCTCCTGGGTGCTTATTACGATCCCAGTCTGGAGTCTTGGACTGGATTCTTGTCGTATGTAAAATCTTTTCTGTTGTTGGGTCTAATTGTCATTATATTATATCATGTTGTGCTCAAAATTCATAGGATTTCGTAGGATTTCATAAAATGTTCTTGCAAGAACAAAAAAACATCCATAAAACACAAAGGCCTAAAAAGGATACAGGCCTTGCTGACTTGTTGCCTTGCTGCCTGTCAAATGACTTTGCAGGCAGCGTTTGCATTCAAAGGTACTTCACGAAATTGATTTCGGACGGGCTCCAGCATAATGGTCTAATGCTCTACAACAAAATAGAGAGCGGCTGAACTAAGTGAATTTTTAATTTCTAAAATACAAATTTCTCACTACACTCTAAATAAAAATCCGGAATAATTTGACAAAACTCAAAAACATTTAGGTGATCAGTTACATCAATTTTTTTAAGTTAGAAATTCAATGTTTAAGTAAGCACAACTGGAACAGATTTTGTGTTTTGTACTCATACATTTTAATTGCCCTCAACTTGAACTATTTGAGTAAGCTCATTCATACATTTAACTTAAAATTACCATGTAATCTCAATTGAAATATTTTTAGTAGTGGAAAGTTGGCTAGCTTTAACTAGCTAATTCAGTCAATTCTAGCTTGCTAGTTGGTAACACAATGCTTTGATAGCATTTGCATAGTATCGCTGAATAAATACCGCAATACAGAACATTTAACATATATCTGCTCAAACCAAACTCATGCTCCACTTATCACCAAACCCCCAAAAACCCAACATAACGGAAACTCTTCTAAATTAGCATACCAAAACATTAAACACTACAAAATCTCCCACTTAACATTAATCTTGCACAAATTCTTTTAGCATTTACTCTCCCTTTCAAGTGTCATGGCAAAGCATGCTGGGAAATAGAAATTTGTTTGTAGTTTGTAGAACTCAAAACAATCATTTCAGATTACTTAAATTGCGTACGTTTTGTGAACTCAAAAGAAAAGGAAAGTTCTAAATAGTCATAAAAAGTTCATTTGATTGAACTCATTTGTTTAATTTAAGTTTACCCAACTCAAACCAATTAATTATTTTTAGCATTAGGATTTACAGTGAAGAAATTATATAAAAAGTTGGTCAAAAACATACATTTACACAAACTGCCAACCACAACCTTTATATGCTATCTTTATTTTTTAGCTCAACTTTCATGGAATTGAATGCACAATATAGTGAGATATCATCAATCAGATGAAGGTACCTCAGTAGACAGGGTGTGACAAGGTCATTGGATTCAAATGGGCCTTGTTGCTTTCCCACCTCCATATGCTGCCTGTGGAGGCAGCATTTTTCAGCTTTTGACCATAGTAAGCTAATTCACAGTTTACTAGAAAATGACAAGTGATCAAAGTTTAAGCTAAACCCTGCAGGGCAGTGGCCCTCCAGGCTGTTTTTGAGGAACCAAGGTGAATGCTTTGTTAAGGTGCATTATGAGAAGACTTAAAAAGGTTTCTGTTAAAAAGGTTGGTTTCTTTAGGCTTGTAACATTAAAGGTGCATTCACAATGACTGACTATATCGCTGAAGGCCAAGAAGTTGCTCGACAGTTGCTGCATCATGCCATTGCACAATTGCATTAAAGTTGAACTCTGCTCAACTTTCTTTTTGCACTCATATTAGAGGCGAATGACATCAGGCCAGTTTGCCACTGCAAATTGCTGTCAGTGTGAATGCACCTAGTAAATGAGAGAAGACCAAGTAAATCTAACACAATGTACAGGCTTGTTGATTAGATACATCTGAATCTCCACTTACTTTCAAGGCAATATCTCAAGCATTCAAACAATTAGATTGAATGCATGCAAGAGCAGGTAGTTCCAATGCAGATTTTCATTGCATTGACCTTTTCATTCTCCGTCCTGTGGATACGAGCTCCATGGTGCTCACTCATTAGCACAGCTACTACCATAGCAAGGTAATGTGACTCATCATCACTACTGATCACCCAGTGGGCTTCTAATCAACAGGTTGCTAAGCTTCACTGAATCGCTCTGTAGGGATTAGGACACAAAGGTCAGGGCAAACAAGGTTTTGATTACAAAAGGATTACAAAAAACCTTGGAAATGCCCCACCTAAAGCTAATGGTGGATATTTGCCTTAGCAAATGCATTTCCTGTTTCCTTTGCATAAATGTTCTTGAAAACCTTCTTGTGTAGCCATACTACTTGCATCAGAGTTCCTGTTCAAGGAGAGGCAACATATGTTCTGCTCTCGTCTGTTGTGTTAGCATTTAGCATGAACGTTGATGTTTCTGCTCTTTTCTATCGTGTTAGCATTTAGCATAAACGTTGATGTATTGATAGCATGCTCAGATTCTATATAGATGTGTATAAAACAGTTACATTGAGTTTTATTAGTATAAAATTGCGTCAAATTTGGTGAGCTAAATAATGTAGGCTAAGCATTATGTATCCACAGTGTAATGTGGTTGTACAGAAAACAGATTGGAGGCAGAAAACCCTATAGCTTTCCAAGCAATGCTCCACAATGCTCTTTGTGGGTGGCTGGTGAAAATTAGCCTCGTGAGACCATCCTGATCTCGCGAGCTTTCAAGGTTTCACTCGCAGATCAGTCTGGATACTTTCCGTTAAAGAAAATTTGGGAGCAGTTCACCAAACGAACGTCCAATCAGCGTTGGCTTTGAGGCGGGTTGAGGTGTGACGCAACGAGAAGCGCGACAGTTCAGTCTAAAGAACATGTCGGCTTCAGCGGATGAAACTAGCATCAGCGTGGCTATCGAGCAAGTTTTATCGGAATTACAGAGTATTTCTTCACTGAAAGAAGAGCAAAACACTGCTCTGGAGGCTTTTCTCAGAGGAAAAGATACGTCATATGCTTCGTTGATCTGATTGGTTGATTTGGCCCGTCTATCACCAACATAGGCCAATCAGCTAACCAGTATTTTCGCCCCTTACCAAAACTACTTCAACGGAAGGTTTCCAGATGGATATGCGGAGCAAATCCATCTGGCGGAGTCAGGTTAGGTGAAAATAGTCTTATTGATTGATACAGAATTAAACAGATGCAATTTAAAGAGACCCCCAAGGCTTTACGGGTGGAACGCAGCATAAAATAAGATGTCCGCTTTTCAGGGTAAATGCTTCTGGTTTTATTGTTTTTGATCAGTGCTCTAATTGACTTGGTTAAGATGTGATGGACACAGGCAGTGTGTTTAGTCTTTAATGTCACTGTCATGGTGTTTTTCTCAGGAAAGCCATCGCCAAGGCTGGTGTGCAGGATAACGCAGCCCAATCCGGCTCCATACCTGCCAAATGTGAACCCAACAAAGAGATCTGCAACACCGTGGATTGGACTGTGAGTTACTCATCTGTATTTTAACAAACAAGGTCCTGTTGAAGGCAGTCCGTTAGCATTCTCATTCATCTGTGTGGCAGCTGGCAGTAAACTCCCATCTCTAACTCATATCACAGTTATCGTTCAATAATCTTTTGCAACTTCTTTCTTGTTATTTGTCTTCCGCAGGAAAATGCCCAGTTTGGCCAACATGTGTGGTTTGAGACCAGTCCATCTGGAGATTTCTGTTACGTGGGGGAGACGTATTGTTTTGCAAAGTCCCTGGTAGATGACCCATCTTTTATCCTTAAAACAATTTATAGAAGCGTGCCTCTATTAATACTTTTTTTTTTTTTTGCACAAGAGCTCTCTCTACTGGTCAGATGTTGTAAGCACATATTCAGATGCATTACTAATGCCTGTTTCACTCCGGTTGAGTAAGCGGATGCCAATTGTTTAATTTTATTTTCTCAGCAAAAATCTCTTCCTCGCCACAAATGTGCATCCTGCAAAATAGCTGTTCACACTGTATGCATGGATCAGCTGGAGAAGGTTAGACATTTAGGTTGAACTGAAAACTGATTAGAAATTAGGATGTATTAAACTTTTTATCTCAACAAATGAAATTCTTTTTAACAGATTAACTTCAGGTGTAAGGCATCTTTTAAAGATCCAGGGATGAAAAATGTCAGAGAGGTAAGACTTTTTTGTCCCTTAAAAACAAGCTTTATCGTATGATTTTTTTAAAACAACTGAGATTATTTGTGTTTCAGACTCCAAACATGAGACATCACTGGGTCCATCGGAGACGGCAAGAAGGAAAATGCCGGCAATGCGGAAAGGTCAGTGCAACACTCATAAAATATGAAACGTGTAATCATCCAGAAAGCATTTATGCCCTAATTTCACTCTCCTTCCTCAGGGTTTCCAGCAGAAATTCTCCTTCCACAGTAAAGATATTGTGGCCATCAGCTGCTCATGGTGTAAGCAGGCAGTAAGTGTTGCACATCTGATCTGAAATCAGTTTTCTACAATGGTTGCAGTATACTACCGTTCAATAGTTTGGTGTCAGTAAGATTTTTTAAAAAAGAAATTAATAGTTTAATTCAGCAATGATGTATTAAATTAATCAAACGTGACAGTAAAAACCTTTCATTTTTACAAATTGTTATAATCAAAAAATTCAGAAAAAATATTAAGCAGCACAACTGTTTTCAACATTGATAATAATAAGAAAATGTTTCTTGAGCACCAAAATAGAATGATTTTTGAAGGACCACGTGACAGTGAAGACTGGAGTTGCTGAAAATTCAGCTTTGCAACACAGGAATAAATTACATTTAGAAATATATTCAAATAGAAAACAGTTATTTTAAATTGTAATAATATTTCACAATCACAATATTACTTTTTCACTATATTTTTCATTGAATAAATGATCAACTCCTTCCTAAACCATTAAAAAATCTTACAACCCAAACATTTGAAACGTTTATTATAGTGTAATGTATAATAAAATATATATCAATGCACTTCGGTATGTGTCTTACAGTATCACAACAAGGTGACCTGCTTCATGCTGCAGAAAATCGATGAGACGTGTTCCCTCGGCGCTCACGCGGCTGTCATCATCCCTCCAACCTGGATCATCAGAGTCCGCAGACAGCAGGTACCATCTGCCCTGAAGAGAGCTGGCTTTATTTGACCCGTTCATAGGACACATGACTCCATTTTGTTTGGAAGTTCTGCTTGTTATATGCTGGTCCTATTAGGACTGTCTACTTTTTTCAACATTTAAAATATTGAGTTTATTGTTCCAATTGTTTTGCTGATATGTTAACATATTTTGTCTGTCATTTGTCAGAAGCAATAAAAAGTCCACATAAACTACCATTCAAAAGTTTAGTGTGAATTTTAAGGGGAGTTTTTCCAGCAAGGTTACATTAAACTGGTCAAAAGTGACAGCAAAGAAATGCTGTTCTTTTAAACTTTCTATTCATCAAAGAATCCTGAAAAATATTATCACAGTTTTCACAAAAATATTAAGCAGCACGACTCTCTCAACATAGATAATCATAAGAAATGTTGCCTAAGCACCAAATCATCATATTAGAATGATTTCTAAAGGATCATGTGACACTGAAGACTGGAGTAATGATGCTGAAAATTCAGCTTTGATCACAGGAATAAATTACACTTTAAAACGTATTCAAATAGAAAACAGTTATTCTAAATGTAGAATAATATTTCACAGTATTACTGTTTTTACTGTATTTTTGATAAAAAAACAGTAAAAATATTTACCAACCTCAAACTTTTTAACGTTATATATGTATATCCTTCAAATAAAGATCCAAAGTACTGTAAGATTATGATGCTTCGACTGACAAAGTCTTTCAGACAGTGTTTTTAACAAGAAAAAGAGGTCATCTGCATCTCAAATGTAAACACATAAACTGAATATGTACCTATAAACCTGTATAATCTGTCTCCATCATCCTGTTTACAGGCATCATTAAAGAGCAGTAAAAGAAAGAAGAAAACCTCTCTGAAGGCCAAACCCAGCAAGAAAGCCACAGAGGTAGCAAACACCTTTGAACTACTTTGAATAAAAGTGACACGTATATGTCATATATATATATGATATTTGAATATTTATCTCTCAGCAGGATGGCAAATGGAAGCACTTTGTCGTGAGACCGATTCCTTCTCAGCTCATGAAGCCTCTGCTGGTGTTTGTCAACCCGAAGAGTGGCGGAAACCAGGTCAGAACCGACACAGAGTTTGTATTGCATAGAAATGTTACTTTACAGCCACACAACAGCACTTTATCTTTTCTATGTAGGGAACCAAAATCATCCGCTCTTTCATGTGGTACCTGAACCCACGGCAAGTGTTTGACCTGACTCAGGGAGGTCCGAGAGAGGGGTAAGAGATGATACATCATACTTTCTTTCTTTCTTCGCTCTGAGCTTGTCCTCTTACAGTTTCTCTTTTTCTTTTTAAGGTTAGAAATGTACAGCAAAGTGCCCAACCTGCGAATCCTTGTTTGTGGCGGAGATGGAACGGTTAGTCAAATATCTTTGCTATTATCTAGATAAAACTGGACTGTGGGTTAATTATTGCCGCTCATACTGTTCATGCAGTATGTGCACAGTATGCAAATTTTCCAACAATGCAAAGGGCCTTCCTATTTCAGAACATTACAGCTTTTACATATCAAATAAATGCAGCCTTGACTCGACTCAAAGTCAAAGTGTTCAAAATTTCCCACAATGCATTGCACTAAACAGTACCTTCAACGTCCAGTGTGACTAATGGTGCAGACGTACTATCAGCCATGATTCATGAATAGGGCCTCTATTATGCTTTTTTGAATATTACCTTTCATGCCTTTCAACAATGGAAAAAGAGCAGAAATCAAGTAATTTAACTTCGCCGGCACTTTATCCAAGCCAATCCTTCAAATATTGCCTAGACTGACACTTCTGTTGAATTGAAATGTATTTGATCACGCTGACCCTGGTCAGGAAGCTCATGGGGTCCATCACGTGTTGTGTTCTCTATATGCTCTGTTTGGACAGGTTGGCTGGATTCTCTCAGTGCTGGATGAACTCCAGTTGAACCCTCAACCCGCCGTGGCCGTGCTGCCCCTCGGGACGGGAAACGACCTGGCCAGGACTCTCAACTGGGGCGGGGTATGAGCCTGAATCCTCTTGGTTGTAATGTTCTCATAAATGTATAGGCATTTTTTTGTATATTTTTTTTGTATTGGAAGCTTAAATTCAAGATGCTATTTTAGCTTTTCACCCTCTGTAAATTTATATTACAAAGTCCTCCTACATAATTTAATATAACGACAAATCTTTCAGCATAAGGTCACTTTTTCTATATAAAAGCAGGATTTGTGGTTTAATCCTCCTGTTGTGTTGGTGTCAATTTGACACCTATTCGATTTTAAAGGAGAACTCCGGTCAATTTCTAACATTGAGCTAATTTTTTTGTACATTTGGAGTGCTGTCAGTACAGACAAAAACGACAAAAATCGGTGTTGCCTACACCGTGTTATCCTCTTTTTAAAATTGGGAAGCGCGCGCGCGAACTCGACAATCGACTACTGTGGACTTCGAACGAAACCAGGAAGTAAATACAGGTATGTGAGTTGGCTGAATTAACATCATTTTTATTAATATCTTTCACATCTACTGCAGTCAGATTGACCGTGGTCACTCTTAATAACACCACTCACATGGCTGTGCACTTGTAATGACACATTAAGGTTGTTAAGAGGCTAAAAGCAGGTTTAGAACTTGCCCCATTGAAGTCAACAGGGTGCGAATTTTAAAAAGAGGATAACACGGTGTAGGCAACACCGATTTTTGACGTTTTTGTCTGTACTGACAGCACTCCAAATGTACAAAAAAATGAGCTCAATATTAAAATTGACTGGAGTTCTCCTTTAATCCGCTTGATTTGTTTTGGAAAGGCTGGTCAAATTCTGTTACAACTTTGTGTTGTTGGGTTTACATTGGTTTTCCATGCAATCTGCCAAAAATCGACTGGAAAACTGCAGAGTAAAACAGAAAACATTTATTAAAGCTTGTCAAACACTCAAATCTGAAATACATGAGGGTTTGTGAATTTGAAGTCTCGAAGTTAACTCAAAATTGAAGACTCGTCTTCTGAATCATTTAAGTAAAATTCACTCTTTTTTTCAGTTTCACAGTCAATAAATTTGACTAATGATGTTTTTGGTCATTTGTTTTTTTGGATCTAAATTACTAGACTGTTGCGGCACTGAAAAGAAGTGTGAAAAGTACATTTTACTCACAGAGAACCAAACATGAAAAGGGAGAGGCTGTTTACACTAAGTGCAAATAGCAATAAATACTATTTACACAGTTCAAATAATGTTAGATACTATTTATAGTTACCCATAGTCATTTGCACCTCAGTGTGCAAATAGTCAATGCAAGAAGTCATTACAAAAAAATGTGTCTGTGCAGCTAATTAAAAACGAAAAAAAATTGGGTTAAGTTGACCTTTAAGTTCACAATAGAAATAGATGGGAATTATTAAATTTCTCACATATTTTATCGTTTTTTAGTCTCTGACAAGTTTCAATAGAGGTTTTCTGTTTTACATACTGTCACAATTTTAGAAAATTACATGGAAGCCAATCGGACCCCCCAGTTGTACCCAGTTTCTTAACCCAACAGGAGGGTTAAACACATAAAATTGGTAATACTGACAGATTAAAGTGGTCGAACAAGAGAAAATTACCCCACTGTCCATCAAGTTTCTCATTGTTTTCTGAAAATGTGTGTACTTGTTGACTTCCAGGGCTACACAGATGAACCGGTGACCAAGATCTTGTCCCATGTGGAAGACGGCAACATCGTCCAGCTGGACCGATGGAACCTGAGCGTGGAACCCAATTTAGAGGCCAGTGAGGAGGAGAGAGATGAACACCAGACCGACAAGGTCAGCTGACACCAGTAGAGGGCGCTAGGCTTCAGCAGAAGAACACCATCCTTCCAGCTTCTCCACAACAAATCCAGGTTTTGTGTTCAAATGAATGGTAAGGTAGAGCTAATGACTACTCCATGTCTATTTCAGCTTCCCATTGACGTCTTCAACAATTATTTCAGCCTCGGATTTGATGCACACGTGACATTGGAGTTTCACGAATGCAGAGGTGTGTCCACTCACTCGTGTAATTTGAATATGGTTTATAAAACGAAAGTTTGCATACATAAAATCAGTGGTTTGTGAAAGGATTCAAACAGACATTGTTTTGTTTTTCTCAGAGGCTAAACCAGAACGGTTCAACAGTCGACTTCGCAATAAAATGTTTTATGCAGGGGTGAGTGTCTGTCCATTAAAATCATGTAGATATTTAATTTGATTCTTTGTGTAATGTGTAAAATGTGACGTATTTGTTCAAATACATGCTCTCCTCTGCAGACAGCCTTCTCAGACTTCCTAATGGGCAGCTCTAAAGATCTGTCCAAACACATCAGGGTCGTGGTGAGTTGAGTTTATTTACATATACACTTTTTGGGTAATATGTCCCAAGTGCTTGAAACTGACTCAATTGAGTCTAATTTAAATTTGTTAGGTACCGAGACTATTTGTCAAAACCTGTAACCGGTCAAAACTTGTAATATATATATGTATACTCAAAATATACAATGTTCCCTCATAGGCCTATGGTTTGTTTTTCTTTTTCTGTCCAGTGTGATGGTACTGACCTAACCAGTAAAGTGCAGGATATGAAACTGCAGTGCCTCCTGTTCCTCAACATCCCCAGGTAAACTGACCTAAAAATATATTATGTAACTATGAGAACGTATGAACATCTTGGTATTAATTCATGTGCTATTTGATATAGATCCTCTTTATTTTGGCATGTTTGGTCTTGAAATGTAATCTCAATGTAAAAAAATCTTAATGACGTCAAATTTCATACCGTTGAACAATTACAGGCAGCTTGGCCTGAAAACCTCATTATAAAAGAGATTCCAAGTTCCAAATTATGTTTATTCCAGGAGAAAATATAATCTAGACATGAGAAACTAGACTAGAGTTCGTTAAAATGAGATTATCCTGACTGAGCTCTGCATTATGTCCGGTAGATATTGTGCTGGTACGATGCCATGGGGGAACCCGAGTGAGCACAATGACTTTGGGCCACAGAAACATGACGACGGGCTCATCGAGGTCATCGGCTTCACCATGACCTCTCTGGTGAGTTTCACTGCATCTGTCCTGCATGAATCCACGAATCCATCTAAATGTTGCTGCTCTTTCTGTAGGCGACCCTGCAGGTCGGAGGACACGGCGAGAGGCTTCACCAGTGCCAGGAGGTGATCCTGACCACCTTTAAACCCATTCCTGTGCAGGTGGATGGAGAACCCTGTAGACTGGCTCCATCCGTCATACACATCACTCTCAGGAACCAGGCCAACATGCTGCAGAAGACCAAGAGAAGAATCTCTCTACCACAGCTGTATGAGTCAGTACAGTCCAACCACATATCTATCTATCTATCTATCTATCCATCCATCCATCCATCCATCCATCCATCCATCCATCCATCCATCCATCCATCCATCCATCCATCCATCCATCCATCCATCCATCCATCCATCCATCCATCCATCCATCCATCCATCCATCCATCCATCCATCCATCCATCCATCCATCCATCCATCCATCCATCCAATAATTCTAAACTATCTATCCATCCATTCAATAATTCTAATCTATCTATTTATCCATCCATCCATCAATCCAATAATTCTAATCTATCTATCCATCCATCCATCCATCCATGCATCCATTCTAGTCTATCTATCCATCAATCCTTCCATCCAATAATTCGTATCTATCCATCCATCCAATAATTCTAAACTATCTATCCATCCATCCAATAATTCTAATCTATCTATCCATCATCAATCCAATAATTCTAATCTATCTATTTATCCATCCATCCATCCATTCATCCATCCATCCATCCATCCAATAATTCTAAACTATCTTTCCATCCATTCAATAATTCTAATATATCTATTTATCCATCCATCCATCAATCCAATAATTCTAATCTATCTCTCTATCCATCCATCCATCCATCCATTCTAGTCTATCTATCCATCAATCCTTCCATCCATCCAATAATTCGTATCTATCCATCCATTCATCCATCCAATAATTCTAAACTATCTATCCATCCATTCATCCATCCAATAATTCTAATATATCTATCCATCCATCCAATAATTCTAATCTATCTATCCATCATCCATCCAATAATTCTAATCTATCTATCTATCTATCCATCCATCCATCCATCTATCTATCTATCTATCTATCTATCCATCCATCCATCAATCCAATAATCCTAATCTATCTATCTGTCTGTCTATCCATCCTTCCATCCATCCAATAATTATAATCTATCTATCTATCTATCTATCTATCTATCTATCTATCTATCTATCTATCTATCTATCTATCTATCTATCTATCTATCTATCTATCTATCTATCTATCTATTCATCATTCCATCCATCCAATAATTCTAAACTATCTATCCATATATCTATCTATCCATCTATCCATCCAATAATTCTAATCTATCTATCCATCCATCCAATAATTCTAATCTATCCATCCATCCATCCATCCATCCATCCATCCATCATTCAATCCATCCATCCAATAATTCTAATCTATATCCATCCATTCATCTAATCTATCTATCTAAATTGGATTCAATCCTTGAGGAAATCTAACTGTTTTTTTTCTCCTCACAGTCAGCAGCCCATGCCAGAGAAAGTGCAGATCCAGGTGAACCGCATCAGCATGTGTGATTATGAAGCTCTTCATTATGATAAGGAGCAGCTCAGGGAGGCCTGTGAGTATCTCTTCTTGTCGTCCTCTCTCTTTTTCACAGCTCTAAAAAGAACCTTCTCATGCACTCCTGAAAAAGCCTCTGCTTTCAAAATACGACTTAATTTAAATCAGTCCTAACTTATCTTTCCTCTTTTCTTTCACCTTGTCAGCGATTCCTATGGGGATAATTACAGTTCCCGGGAACAGTGATTTGGAGACATGTCGGCTGCATATCGAGAAGCTACATGAGGTGCTTTTCAGCTTGTTGAATGCTGGTTAGAATATGTGCCAACAGGCAGATTTGGCAAAAACCTCCTTCCTTATTTGCAAAAGTAAAGGGGAGGATCGGAACTCTCAAAGTTTGGCTTCAAGTCAAAATGAAATCAAAACTGAGTCCATTTACTTTCAAATATAATAACTTGCTCCACCTCTAAAAGGACTTTGCTGTTCCACTTTATAACACCCATTTGGCATTCAACAGCCTTTTTTTCTTTCATGATTCAAATCCTGTCCTCCAGTTTTTTTGTTCTTGAAAATACTTCTTCATTTAGAAAACAATAAAATGGGTTGCAATGGCAACTTTAACATAGTCATACTTAGCGAAATAAGAACACGTCTGTGTTGAAGCCACTCCTAGGAAAGAAAATGAATATCTATTTAATTTAGCTTGAAAGCTGTTTCCTGTGGCGACATTGACACGTCTCTGAAACACAAATGATGTGTTTTACCTTTAAGAGTCGCTAGTTTCCATTTTAATTACAGCCATTCAGGCCATGTGATATTGTGCATGTGAAACCCATTGCACGTTGACTTCCTGTTCAATTACAGTCAGAAAAACACATTGTGACTAATTGAACTCACACAGTGAGGCCGTTTTGGACAGGAGCCATTTTTCACTTGCACTTTCTGTGTTTTTCCTCTCTCTGTCTCTTTAGGAGGGGGATGGTATAAACACAGACACACTGCACATGCCAAAACTTTCACCAAAATGGTGCTTCCTTGACTGTAAGTAGTGCATTTCAAGCTTTTCCAAAAAACTGTATAGAATTCGTCTAAGTGTGATGATGATAAATAACTTGGGCTTTCTATGTTAAATCATATTTGTGAGAATTTGACGTTTCCGTCATTTTTGCATACCCCGTAATCACATTTTCCCCTCTGGTTTGATTACAGCTACGACTGCAGACCGTTTCTACAGAATAGACCGCGGTCAGGTACCTACGAAAGGAAACTTTGACGTTTTACATCTGTGTTGCATGTCACACTGTGCCTTTTTACCCTACAGCATTGCATATCTCTGCAGGAGCATCTAAACTATGTGACGGAGATCTCCCAGGATGAGCTTTTCATCCTGGACCCGGAGCTGGTCACCAAGGAGACGGTGGGCACGTCGCCCGGAATGCCGGGGGCGATGGAAACTGTTGGGGGATGTTCCAACAGCTCAGACCAGTTTGCTTTCCCTGCCTGCTCTCCCGGGCCTTCTCCTCTGTGCAGGTAGATTGGAACGAGACACTTCGGATGACAAAATGTGTGGTTAAACTTGATCAACTCGTGTTGTTAGGGTTGCAAACAGCTTTTGCACTGCCTCAAGATGCAATTCGATGTCGCTTTTTACTTTGACAGATCATTTTAACACTGTAGTCTAGCACAGTACATGCGTGGGCAGGTTTTGCTTCGCCTGTGGGCATGACAATTCAGAAAATGTCCCCAGAAGAACAGCAAAAGCTCACTAAACCCCTTGTGAAGACATGCTCGCAAAAGCACATCTTCATTAAGGAACTAAAAAAAAGTGTCTTGCTATGAATTTCTTATTAATTTTGCCAAAAAGCGTTGTAGATTTAGCATGATTCTATATAATTACCTTATATTATGTTATAATTTTCTTATATTATGAATAACATATGTGAATGCACTTACAAAAAAGTACCAGAAAGTATGATGGTATTATTATTATGTCGTTGTTTTTTGGATTTGTAATATGGAAATGGAAAAAGCATGGTATATGAATATGCAAATTACAGTACCATGATATCACATTACTGTGGTTCTATCACAATACTTTCTTGTAAGTGTAGGAAGTCCTCGACAACAATAATATACAGTAATATGACATATAGTGGGGTCTAAATATCTGAGACCAATAGAAAAAAATTTATTCATTTGGCATTTTAATGTAATATATTTTAATTATAATGAAATATTTATTTATTAGTAAAATATTAAACAATCATAAATATTAATGTTAGTAAAATTAATAATTATTATAACATATATTAAAATATTAAACTATACTTTATTTATATATTAAAAAAATATATATATAATACAGTAAACTATTGTACAAAATATTTTCAAATATTATAATTTATTTTTAATTCTTTACATATGAAAATATATTTTATGTTATCTATTTTATATGTAAAATATTTTTAGCATAACAATTTGAGTAAACCTTTGTAAAACATTTTACATAATATACTTGAATTATAATTGTATATTTGTAATAGTTTATTGTGTTTGTGTGTGTGTGTGTGTGTATATATATATATATATACATTTTTTATATTAAATCATGTTAATATTAATACAGTAAACTATTATAAATATAAAAAATATAATAAATTATTTAAACTTACTAATAATATTAGTACAACAATTAGTACAACATCTAATTAGTACAACAATTTAAGTAAACAGTTGAACTGACATGGAATATATTTGATAATTATGTTTATTTTAATTATATTTGTAATAGTTAATTGTATTAATAGTCATTTTTTTCATATATATATATATATATAATTTATTCATTTATTTATATGGAAATCTATGTTCATATTATTACTACTATAATTGTAATAAATTATTTAAACATTAATATATGTTTTATTATATCGATTTTATTTTATTTTTAGCTGTATAAAATAACATTAGTATAGCAATTTAAATAATATGTTTAACTGGCATGATATTCAGAATGTTTTACTACTTGATAGGTCCTAAATACATGCATATATAGAGAAGCTTAAGTGTTTGCGGTAAATGTGTAACACTAGACTGAACCGAACGCGTTCCTTCCTGTTTGAAAACGAAAAATGACAGTTGCTCTTCAGCTCGAGTCTATTCCCTCAGGGGACGTCTTTTTGTCTGTGTATTTGCGTGCGCATCTGATGGCGAGACCGAGAGAGTGAGAGACAGTGGCGTTTTTGTGCCAAAGTCTACTGTGAACACCCACAAATCTGTGTGTTACTAAAATGTGAGTCCATCCAGGACAGGACAGCCCCTCATAAAGGCCCCTGCTATTAAACACTCATTTATCTGTGTTTACATTCCCCCTCCCCCTGCCTGACGCACAGCAGAGCGCTGAAAAAACACACCCCATCTGTCAGACCTCATTGTAGCGCTTGTTCTGTTACTGTAAATTATACACATCTCACAAACAATGAGTTTCCCCCGCCCCCCACGCGGGAGGACAGCATTGTAAACACATCGACCTCTCTGTTGTCTGTCCATCCCATTATGCTCTCGCAGGGTTCATCAGACGCATGCTGAAGGCCAAGTGGAAAGTGTGAACCCGGATAGTGTCCCACACATGCAAAGTGATCCAGAGAGCCCCTCAAAGCAAGGCCTGTGCAGGTACAGCTCAAACCCAGGGCTTTGGGCTTTAATCAGTTTGGATTGTTTCCATGAGAACCATAGACACTATATGTATTACCGTATATTATGCCATGGTCTTTTTATAGCAAACGTCATTACTAGGCTAACCATGTTATCTATGTGATTCGTTGAGACTCTCTAATCTGCACCAGCCCTTACAGAAAAGTACTGTGGCGGTACTATGGTACTTTGATATATACTATGGTACTGAATGACTACCATATTCATGTCTGCATTGCACCATAATAGTGTCATTTTTTTGTTAGTGAGAGGGCAGAAGATATCCATTTTTAAATGAATATCTTACATAAGCTTGTCTTTGCCCAATGTCTTTCATCTTGAAGGAGAGGAGCAAAAATGATGAATATCAGTCGTTCAAACACATTTGATGAGGACTCAGTGAATGTGCCAAAGAGGTACATACAATATTTCAGCATTATGATCGCTGGTGAGACACACAAATGTAGTCGGTTTTGTTCATGAATCGTGGTATTAATATTCAATTTTAATTTCACAGGTTAGATTCTGCCTGGAATGACAGTGATCAAGGTACATACATACATATATATATATATAATATATAAATAAAATTTAAATTATATATATAATATAGAATTGTATTTATTTATTAGAATGTTTTAATGTTAATACAATAAAAGTATAATTCTATATATAATAAATATATTATGCAATTATATATATATATATATATATATATATTATACATCTGTAATTAACTAGACTATATTAACTAGAACTAGAGTATATAGTAAAATGTATTAAAAAAATTTATGAATAATATAATAATCGTAATAGTTTAATATTACTGATATTAATAGTAATAATATATTTATAACTATATATATATAATACAATTAACACATACTCATACATTTTCTATAATTACATTTTCTATAGATATACTATACTTGTATTTATTTATTGGATTTTTTTTTATTAATACAGTAAAATGCTAAAAATGTCTACATTTTCTATAATTAATTTAGTACAATAAAAGTGCTTATGTTTTTTCCCCATTTCTTTCAGAATCAATAAATTTGCTCTTTGATGCCGTGAAGTGTGACAACATTGAAAAGGTATTCATAAAATAACCGATTCAAGCAATATGATACATCAGTGCTGTGCATGGCCCGAGCCGATGGACTGTTTCTCTGCTCGTGATGTTCTCAGCTGGTCCAGGTGCATGAAGAAGGGGTCAGTCTCTTGGTCCAGGACCGTTTCGGCTGCACCCTCCTCCATCACGCCGTCGTCTCAGGCAGCAAAAACATGGTGAAGTATCTCACTGATAACGGTGAGTTGGTTGGACTTCATTCTTTGACTTTGACTCTGGTCACGTTTCTAATTGTCTTTGACTGTTTTTGGGGAACAGCTCCAGCCTGCATCCTGGATGTGACGGAGAAATCAACGTAAGTAGTGCTGGAGCGTCTCAGGCTTCTTTTACTCGATTTCATTTGGGGTTTGGATTTGAAACAGCCAAAGGTCACGAGCTGTGTGTGTGTGTGTGTGTGTGTTGTCCTCAGAGGAGAGACGGCTCTACACAAGGCTGCTGCTCTGTGTCAGAGGACGATCTGCTGTTATCTGGTGGAGGCTGGAGCGTCCCTCATGAAGACTGATCTACAGGTGATGACCACATGCATACCTCACTATATTTACTTTCATCATATATCCTGCAAAACAGTAAACATATTATTGTATTTGTTTTATTTATCTATAATTGCAAAAAATAAAATTAATAAATTTAATTTAATAAAAAAATACATTTTCATTATGATCCATTCATTTATCTATATCCATCCATCCATCCATATATCCTTCCATTTATCTATATCCTTTCATCCATCCATTTATCTATATCCATCCATCCATTTATCTATATCCATCCATCCATTCATATATCCATCCATTTATCTATATCCTTTCATCCATCCATTTCTTTATATCCTTTCATCCATCCATTTATCTATATCCATCCATCCATCCATGTATCTATATCCATCCGTCCATCCATCCATCCATCCATCCATGTATCTATATCCACCCATCCATGTATCTATATCCATCCATCCATCCATCCATCCATCCATGTATCTATATCCATCCATCCATCCATCCATCCATGTATCTATATCCACCCATCCATCCATCCATGTATCTATATCCATCCATCCATCCATCCATGTATCTATATCCACCCATCCATCCTCCATGTATCTATATCCATCCATCCTCCATGTATCTATATCCATCCATCCATCCATCCATGTATCTATATCCATCCATCCATCCATCCATGTATCTATATCCATCCATCCATCCATCCATGTATCTATATCCATCCGTCCATCCATCCATCCATTTAACTATATATCCATCCATCCATTCATTTATATCCATCTGTCCATCCATCCATGTATCTATATTCATCTATCCATCCATCCATGTATCTATATCCATCCATCCATCCATCCATGTATCTATATTCATCCGTCAATCCATGTATCTATATTCATCCATCCATCCATGTATCTATATTCATCCGTCCATCCATGTATCTATATATCATCCATCCATTCATCTATATCCATTTATCTATATCCATCCCAGCAAGAATTTAAATAAACAAAAAGTGGCAAAAATATTAGAAAAAACTAAATAAATCAAATATTATTTACATTTTAAAAACTGTCTTTCCTTCATCCTGCAGGGTGACACTCCAAAGATGTACGCGGAGAGAGCTCAAGACCTCGAGTTGGCCGAGTACCTGGAAAACCGACAGCACCACCAGATGATCCAGAGGGATGACCATGAGACGGCTGTGTGACCGACTTCTGACCGCCACCAAACAGAGGCGTATCCCGTCTCTCCCGTGGCCGGTTTATCCGGGACGGCCACATGTTAGCGACGCTTTGAGGCAGCATGTGTGCGGAAATAAGTTTGTTCGCTCTCTGTATTGATTGTAATGCCAAAAAGACAGTGTTTCGTGTCATGTTTCAGAATGCATGGGTTTGCTACGTCGCGTCCAGCTTTCAGGCCGTGCAAAGCTGCACCGTTCTGCTCCTTAAGACACAATGTGCAACATTTTGGGAATTTCAGGGCTGAAGTACCATGTATAAAAGTGGCTTTCACTGAACTACTATAAAGAAAACCAGATGAAGCTCATGTGAGATTAACTGCAGAGGTTTTTTGCTGCTTCTGATTACATTTTACAATTCTGATCGCATATCTAATAGTTTTACAGAGTTTATGTGACCGTAGTCCACTGGAAACTTCCTTTAGCTTGGCTTCCACTTCACGTGTTTGTTCTGATTGGAGATAGACGTTGTTTTCATAGCCTCCTGTGTTTAAGAATGCTTCCTCAGCTGTTGCTTACGGACAGTTTCTCTCTTTGTGGTAAATGCTTGAATTTCCTAAAAACATTCCATTAATTACTACTTTAGATTGCATTAAATCAATTCTGTATTCTCCATATATATTATAAATCGTAATCATTTGTTAGTCAATAGATTTGCCTTTGGCCATTTTATGACCATAAATGTGCGCCTAAATGAATGAAGTTTCTTTCAGGAATGGGATCGTATCTTTTAGCGTGGATTGTTTGCACTGACTGCTATACTTTTGAATAAAAATTTCTCACCAGTGTGATTTTAGGTCATGCAGCAACTTGAATTTGTTAGTTTTGGTTTCCAGCCAAATGGAGCATGTTAGTTACACAGAAACATAGGTTTAAGGCTTAATCCTGAGATATAAATCACATTTTCAGTGACGAATGGAGGAAATGAAATACGAGTTGTCATGGGTTTTGCATTGGTGCATTACAGAGTTATATATATTTATGTCATCGTCTGCAGTTACAAGGTTTAAATTCCTTTGTATTAAACCGGGTCACTTTATGTACATGTAAAATTGACTAAATGCTTGAATAATAACACAGGAAAGCTGGTCTTTTTACAAAGCAGCCATTTGACAACGTTATGTTGTCGGCATTGCCAATGTGTGTTTGTGGTGAGATGTCATTATGATAGAATATGTATTTTGTCAGTGCTTTGTATGAGTTGCTATGCAATTCCAAATAGATGATACATGTATATAATCTGTCAAACATTTTAAAAATGTGTGAACAATCTGTTCCGACATAAAGGTCTTTAATTTGTATGTGATATGAACTTAGATAATGCTTTATTTATAAGAGTAGATAAGAGTTTTGTTAGCGGAATAGTGATATATTTGTTCTTGGGTCTGGTTTGTTATTGTCTACTTGGGGGAAGAAAATGAATAAAGTCTTTAAAAACAAGTTTGTGTATTTACTGAATGTACTTTTATTATGGGGTTTAATTGACTGAGGATATTTACATATGAAGTCTGAATACACATCCGTCATCCTCATTACTCTCTCATTCTCTTATCGCACAGCAATGGCGTCTTTTCAGGGTTTGGAGCACCGGGTGGTAAGCAGTGTATAATGTTGAACTGTGCCTCTCCCTAGGAGGGTCTTTATGTCTGGATGAGTTACCGGCAATGATGGATGTGTTGACATTTGTGACTCATTTATCATTTCGGAGATAAGGTTATTGTTTTCTCTCTCCTGCTCCAGCTCTATTTCTGGAGTAGGGAAAGGACGCAAATCAGTTTAACCTCAGTTCAACCTGCTTATTTTAAATTTGGGAGATAGTGTGTTAAGTCAAAGAAACATTCACACAAGCTCATCTGAACAGAGAATCATTGGAGAAATAATATATACAGATATACAGGTTTTTTTATATAGCACATTTCATACACAATAGTAATTCAAAGTGCTTTAAACCGCACACAGGGACAGAATAGAAAAATAATGGAATTAAAATAAATAAGTGACAAAAAAGAAAAAATATATACGTTTATGAAATTTGATAAAAGGTATTAGATTAAATAAATTAGAGGAAATAGATTTAAATTCATATAGCGCATTTCACACTCAAAAATGAGTATCAAAACTATTTTATCCTAAAACTAGTAACACTTTACAATAAGGTCAATAGATTAACTAACAATGAGCAATACATTTGTAATATTTAATCTTTGTAATATTTAACATTAGTTAATAATACAGCTGAGCTGTTCCTTGTTTGTTCATGTTAACTAATGTCAGCAAATACAAAACTTTTGATTTAAAAAAATGTTATAGTAGCCTACTAATGTGGTTAACGAATGAAACCTTATTGTAAAGTGTTACCAATAAAATACTGAAGAAAAAATGGTGTACCTTGGTTTGTTTACCTTGAAAAAAAATCACTAAGAAATTGCTAGTAAATTTTACCAAAAAAAAAAGAGGCAGATATATAGATAGAACAGAGAACGCTCCATTACCACACAATTTCATCTCATATGTTAATAGATCCTTCGTAGACTTAGAGAGAGAGAGAGAGAGAGAGAGAGAGAGAGAGAGAGAGAGAGAGAGAGAGAGAGAGAGAGAGAGAGAGAGAGAGAGAGAGAGAGAGAGAGAGAGAGTGGGGGTGAGTGTAAGTGCACAGCTATGCGAGTGTGACCAGCTCAAACTAGTTCGGAGAAACACAAAGAGCAGCAGAGATCATAGAGAGCTGAACGCAAGACACACGCTCACAGCACAGCATCATATTCACAGCAATAAGGCAAGTACATCCTCATCATCCTCATCATAACCCAACAACGGCTATTATTAACCAGCAGCGATGTTTCACGACGCTGCGCGTTTGAATAATAGCTTACTGTGTGATAAATAATGCAAATATCTATCTGCGATTGGACCCGGATCGGATTTTTGTGTATAGGTTTCTATTATCGTTATTTATTCCATTTGATCTGTATCTACGTTTTACTGCCATAATATTCCGCATTGATATTTTTATTAATGTTTTTGATGTGACATGATAAAAGGGGGCGTATGGTCCGTATCATAATAACAAACGCGTCAATTAGCGTTTCGTTTGAAGACCGTTTTTAGATCATAAAATAGATGATTTGTGTTCTATATGAGAATATTTCCTGAGTTTAGAATAAAAGCGTCGATATTAGTTTTAACTGAACACCGTCACCATCGCAGTGTATTGTAGTTGATTTAATGGCGGATGTCTCTTTAAATAGTTGCTTTCATGCTGTAATAGAGTCGTGGAGTTTTTGTTTTCGTGTGCAAAAAGGCTCTTTAATGCTGTCAGGGAAAATGATGCACTGTGAAGAGCCAAAGAGGGGACCAGCTGCCAGCAAACTGCTGACCCACTTCTCCAAACCAGAACCAAATGGACACACCAGCTCTCGCAATTTCATTCTGATGCGGGACGAAAAGCTCCAGATGCGGTTGAACTTTGTGCTCCTTGAGGAAGTTCTCAAAATGTCCGGTTCTGCATTTATCAAAGGCAGCATCCCACGTCCCTTCTTTCATCAACAGAGCGGGGTTTGTCCTCCAATGCAAATAGGCTTATATTCAAAGGAGTGAGGGGAGGCCCACCCCCCTCCTCAAGACACAGCATGGGATCTGTGTTCGGCCTCTTTCAGAGAGGGAAGCAAAACGGGCGAGATCCTGCTTTGTTCGGAGCCAGTGAATCAGGCTCCTCTAAGGCCCAGCTGAAGGTCTTTGAGTGCTTGGCCTCTCTCTCTCCCCTGAGGAGGAGGAGGGGGTTTTCTCCTCACACAAAAGTCCGACCCCGAGGAACCCTTCACATTTATGACTGACTGAAGAATGGAGCCATGCCGCTGGGCTGCGCCTTGAAAGGAGCCTGTTTTAATGGAGGCAGGAAAAGAATGAAAAGGAGAAGTGCTGCGTGCTTTTTTTCCTTCAAGAAAAGGGGAAAATATAGAGAGGCCGAGGCTCTTTTATGGAGTCGCACACAGCGAGCTGCTAGGATGGCGTAGGACATTGTGTACACAGTGTCTTTAATTCAGAGTCAGACAGTACAAACGAAAACTCAAGTCTCAAGACTATAGCCACGTTCTCTAGGGTTGTCGTTGTGAAATAAAACTAAACTGTTTAAAACATAACTTTTGTTAATTGAAATGAAGCTAAAATACCATGTAAATATTCGATGGAAAATTTCAACAACAAAAAAAACTCGCTTGAAAACAGGTTTCAAAGTGCAAGTTTTTGTCCGTGTAAACTACAAAAACTCGAATTTGTGAAAACACAAATTATTATGTGTTCAGTCTATAGACGAGTATTGTTTCTTTACAAAATCCAAAATCAAATACTTCCCAACTATATAGTATGCAAAAAACCATACGCCAAAAGAGTAGTATGTCAGAATACATATTATTCGAAAAACAGTAGGCGAAAAGTTTCTGGATGACCTACTACTTCCGGCGAGATTCTGAAGTGCGCATTCGATGGACACTTTACTATCCCATGATGCCACGGGAGAGGATTTACGAATGAGAGTGAAGCGACGTAACTGATGCTGGAAGGTCACGTTACAGAAACAAAACGGCGGATGTAGTACGTCCAAATCGTACTTCCCACATTCATACTATATAGAACATACTTTCTTAACAGTTGCGAAGTAAATTCAAATTCAAAAGTAGTAGCCTACCTAGTCAGTATGCGATTTCGAACCTAGCGAAAGTGACATCGCCAACTACTGGCCTGGCTGCATACTACAGTGTTTTTAGACATTTTCGCAGATCCGTGTGTATGTGGACTGTTTTGACAACATTGTACGTGAAACTTTTCAAAAACGCGAAGGGAAAAAATAGTAAAAGTATATAAATAATACTAAATTTATATATGTATATATATATATATAAAAAAAAGTTTCAAGGTTTCAACTGAGCGTAATGTCCGCTGTATTTCTTCACAGAATGCGGAGTTTATTCTCTATAGCGCTTGTGCTGCTGGTGGTGTTGATGATCACCGTGGAAGCCAGTATGAAGAAAAAAGGTTCTTATCTTTTACAAAATGATGCAATGCACATTCTTTTCGTGTGATAATGCTATTAACCATTTTCTATTTTGTGACAGAAAAGGGCAAAGAGGCCAAAGCAGATGCTGCGTGCAGCGAATGGCAGTATGGGAAATGTGTTCCCAACAGCGGCGACTGCGGCGCTGGCATTCGGGAGGCGACCTGCAATGAACAGACAAAGAAAACCAAGTGCAAAGTCCCATGCAACTGGAAGAAGGACTTTGGCGGTAAGAAGTTTTACATGTCTGGATATGAATCAAACAGAAATACATTTCGACAGGCCCAATCAGTCTAATTTGCTCTTTGTTTTAAGCTGACTGCAAGTACAAGTTTGGTCGTTGGGCCGAATGCGACACTACCACAGGAACCAGAAGCAGGTCGGGGCAATTGAAGAAGGCACTGTTCAACGCTGAATGCCAGACCACCATTATAGTGTCCAAACCTTGCACCCCAAAGACCCCCAAACCCAAGGGAGGCGAGAAGAAGAAAGGAAAAGGGAAGGAAAACTAACTTGAAGACCACCCCAACTGCCCCATTGCCCACTCAGTGGTACATTCCTATGTGACACTCCCAAATCCTCCAAAAGGCGAATGCTGAGAGGAAAAAAAACTGTAGCCCTACCTATTGTTTTTATTTCCACTTTCTTCGTTTTGTAATTAGTAAATGTATGTGTCTATGCTGTTGTAATTTGATCACTGTAGCAAATTTTTAATTGTAATTGACTTTGCATGTAAAAAATAGGCCGCAGCAAATCTGTCGTCTAACAAATTGTCTTTACTAAAGAGAAAAACCCTAATTACACCCCTAAAAGAAAGTATTTGTAAATTACAACAAATCGAATTGAAGGCGATTTCTGTACGTTATAACGCTTAAACGAACAGTTCCTGGAAGTAACGGCCTATATAAAGTATCTATGTTTATAAATGTTTATGGTTTTAGATTTGATGGATGTACAATCAAATTTACAACACTAACTGATTACTTCTACAGGTTGTGAATAAATGAAAGTGTATTTTCAATAATATTTCCTGGTGCCTTTTTAAAAAGAACTTTTTCACATTTATTTGTTGAAGACTGACAAACTTAGGAATAATTTATAATGTCTACATTTGACATGCAATTTTAATGATGTTACGATGGATGACATGATTTACACAAATGGGTTTGGTTTTTGTATCATGACTGAGAACCAAAGTGTTTTTACTCATTTATTGTGCAAACAGTAACAGTCTTACAAACTCAAAAATGTATTTGCGATATATCATACAGAACTATGGAAGCTTGTATTCCAACACAGAATAAAAAATAGTTTTTTTTACAGAACTGCGTGATATAAACTCACAATTACGAGTTATAAAGTCAGAATTGTGAGATAAACTCGCACTTAAGAGAAAAAAAGTCAGTCTTTTTTCCCCTCAGAACTGGACTTTATAACTTGGAATTGCGAGTTTATATTTCAAAATTCAGAGAAAAGCAGTCAGATTTGTGAGTTACTAAGTCAAAATTGCGATTCTGACTATAAACGCGCAATTCTGACTATTACTGAAGATGAAAACTCGCAACTGTGAGAAAAAAAGTCCGAATTGTGAGATAAAATGTGAGTTTATATTTCAAAATTCAGAGAAAAGTAGTCAGATTTGTGAGTTACTAAGTCAAAATTGCGATTCTGACTATTACTGAAGATGAAAACTCGCAACTGAGAAAAAAAAGTCCGAATTGTGAGATAAAATATCGCAATTATCTTTTAAATTGTTTTATTCTGTGGAGGAAATAAGCCTCCATGCAAAACAAATGCAATTTAAGGCGACATGAAAAATACAAAATAACTGAACCAACATGTTTATTTTCACTTTTCGCTTTAGTAAACCACCATCAAAACAAGAATCAGGGTCTTCTCTAATTTGTTGCATTGATTTACATAAAACTATTTACATAAGAATGCACTTGCGAACAACTTAAAACAACTTTACGATACAAATGCATGCAATATCAGCAACATGCAAAACAATGAATACTTCAATTTATTTACACTTTTGGCTCTAGTAAACCAACATTGTGCTCATAAAAATAATGCATTCGCAAACAGCTTAAAAATGACTTTACGATACTTCATAAAATTGTACAAGTAATGTTTGCGATATCAGCATGATAAACATCCATAACCTCAACCAACACATTTATTTTCACTTTTGGCTCTGGTAAAACTCCATCACAGTCACAACGTTTTAGCAAATCAGGTTCCTCATTGGTTGGTCAGGAATCATTGATGAGACACTGAAGATTTGATGAAGTCCAGCTCATTTTAACGTCAGATTATTGAACTTGCACATCAACAGTCGTTTAAAGGTTCTTTTGAAGGTGGCGTTACAGAGCGCGTAGCATACTGGATTAACCGTGCTGTTGACGTAACACAGAAAGTAGCCCACCATCCAAAGAATTTCAGGGACACACCAGCGGCAGAAGGTACCAATCAGAACCATAACGCTATAGGGCGTCCAGGTGACGATGAAGGCTAGGAGAACGGCAAGGACGGTCTTGGTCACCTTCCTCTCTCTTAGAGCCTTCCGTCTGGCATTCTTGCAGATGGCCTTGGATGTTTGCCGTTGAACCTGAACGGTAGTATGGTTTGGAGAACAGTGAGGTTGCGTTGTCCTGCTAGTTTCCGTACACTCGGTCAAGCTTTTCGGTCTCAAGGTTTCTCCATCCAGCCCTCGGTCTTCCGCAGAGGCATCATGGCTTGAATCCAAGGAGTAGTCCGTTTTGCTGAACTCTACGGAAGGCGTGCTGCAGAGTCGTTTGCTTCTCACGAGGTCTGAATCTCGTTTAAATGAACACGCTTCATCTGGTTTAATGTCATTCACTAGGTCAGGGTTTGCGGTAGATGTTCCTTCACTTGTCTTGGACGGTTTAAGCAAGTTTGCGGATTCAGACTTCAACTTACAAACCCGTCTCTGACTGGCTAGGGATATCCGTGTGTACAGCACCATCATTATTACAACAGGAATATAGAATGCTGGGATGGTGGTTGCCAGGGTTACAGCAGGGTTAGCGAGTAGCAGGATGTAACATTGTCCCTCCGGGACCTCGCTTCGGTCCCTTCCAGCCTGCCAAAGCAGGATAGCTGGAGCCCAGAGAAGCAGAGACTGCAACCAAGCTGCAGCGATCATCACCCCTGCCCACCTTGCGGTACGTTTGGTTGGGTAACTCAGAGGCCGGGTAACGCAGAAGTACCGGTCAAAGCAGATCAGAAGGAGGTTCATCACCGAGGCGTTACTGACCACGTAATCCACAACCAACCACAAGTCGCACATCTGCGGTCCCAAAGGCCAGTATCCCTTTACGGCGTAAACAATGTAGAGATTCATGGAGAACGCACCGACGATAAGGTCTGAACAAGCAAGACTAAAAAGGAAGTAGTTGTTGATGGTCCGGAGATTGCGGTTGACTTTGATTGAAAGCAGAACCAGGACGTTGCCTAGGACTGTTAGAAGGTTGATGCAGCTAGTGATAAGTATGATGATGACCACCCCTACAGTCCCAAAAGCACGACGTGGTCTTCCCGTCAACAAGTAGGATTCTTCGGGCAAGGGACTGTGCGTGCTGCCGTTGAGCATGCTGGGGGAACTCGTGGAGGAGCCTGCGACAAGAAAACGACCAATAATCATAAACCAAGTGGCACAGAGGCATTTAACTTGACATGAGCAAAACAACACTGGTATATACACTACTCTTCAAATGTTAATATACAAAAAAATCTAATACATAGAAATTAAGATTTCAAATTTACAAATTTATGACTCTTACATTGTCCCATCAGCAAACTTACCGTTGAAAACGAACCATTCCAAGTTCCTTGACAAAACGTCAGATCCAGCCTCCATGATCTCCAGCTCAGTCTGAATGAGAGAACAACTGGGAGGACTTTTAATTCCTCAAACAGTAACACCCATCCTCACCTTCCGAACACATAACCAGGAAGAAGTTATCCAACCTCTTTGAGCTGTATCAATATTACACTGAATTTACGGGAAGATGATGATCAAAGTGGAACGATAGTATTACAGCCGAATTCCTCCTAGTTTTGTGCTGCCTCTTTAGAGCATGTAAGCTAAATGCAGTTCCTGTCCTCTGAAGAGGAAGGCAGCAGTTACGTAACAGATGGAATCTAATTACCTGACCAGTAATGCAGCTCCACAGCTGTTTCACATATTTTTTTTATTATAATTCTATTAGAATATTTGATTACCTTTTCTCATTTTCATATCACACGTACTACAACAAATTACAGATGTTTCCAAATGTAAAGTTGTAACGAGGATGCTGGGATTTGGGCAGAGGCCCGTTCACACCAAGGACGATAACTATAATGAATGGTTCTAATGTGCTTACTTGTCGTGAATAAACAAATAAACCTAAAATTAAAAACAACAATAAATATAAAATAAGAAATAATTTGTCCAATTACAGTAAAGAGAATTTTGGGAAAATGTGCATAATTGTCATTACTGTAATTGGTCTTTTACTAAGAAATTTTTATTGTAATTTCCATTATTTTTGGTGATTATCATTGCTGTAGTAGAGTTTTATTTTATTTTATTACATTCCAGTAAAAAAGATGGCACAAATCATACTTTTATTGATATTTTAGAAAGAAATATGGCCTGGATAGGTTCTCAAAAGGTTTCAGGAGTTTCACTGTATCGTAATTAATAAATAATAATATATAATAAATAAAATGTCAAAAACAACTGAATTAATTTCCATAATCCCATTTTATTAAAACTCTCATAATCGTCATTACCACAGGATCTTTGGTGTCCCACGAAATTCTTTTACAACACCTAATCCTCATTTTCACTAAATAAAGAACCAACTACACATTTATGGTAAGTCATAACAACACATCCCTCTTGTCCGGGCAGAAGAGGAAGTCGAATTCTGGTCTTTTCCACTATCATGACTTAAGCTAAGGTACCGATCCAGCAGTGAAAGCATATACATAACCACACATCCAACAAGAACACAGTTACAGTTTTTAAAATGTCACACTTTCGGTCGCCGTCACCTATTCTCGTCCGAACACATGAATAGTCCTAAAAGTCTAAAACAAACCCTGCATAAAGCAACTTCATAAAAATAAGGTGTGCATATGGTCAAAAATGAGATGTGTCCTTAAATGATGGTACAATAATTTAGCATGTTCTCAAATGGAGTTTAAAGTAAAAAGGTCCTTCTTTCTCATCATAGATGCATTTTTTTAAATCAGGATTGCATTTGTCATTCACACAAAGAGTCAAATAAATAATCGAAATGACACCCAACACAACCAGACTTTTACCAATTTTTCCTACCAAATACTAAAACACTGAACATTCAAAAGGCTTATGAAGGAGCTATTCCGGTATTGTCAGCTTTTGTGGTTCAGTAAGGAGAAGACTCCCCAAGGCACTGAACTCATTTAAAAACACCAAAGGGTATGTGGTTTCTGAGAGGTTCCTCAGCTGCCATTGCTTGCTATGAGATCACAATCCAACTGAATCTTACATCCACAAACTTTCAAAAAAACAAACCCTTTCTAATGGGGACCGTTTGTTTTTTTTATACAAAAAGCTAATTCAAGCCAAGCAGCTAAAAAAACAAAATCTTTTACACAAATAATAATTTTATAAATGCTTGTTAACGACAGGCCTGTGCATATGCAAATGCACTGACAACTCATCGCTAGAGTTGACCTATCGAACACAAGAATCTAAACGAGCACAACAGAACTTACAAGGCAAGTATGTCATTTAAAAAAACAAAACAAAAAAAACATCCCGAAATATGGATTTAAGTTTTTTCTTCTTGATTTATCATCTCTACATTTACAATGCTACATTTATTTATAATAAAACTCTGTAGGTTCAGTGGCGGAAACTCACAGACATCCACATCCACACGTACACGCATACAAACAGTGCCCGTCCTCAGTGACTCTCAGCAGTGCGCGGGCATATAGGGCCGCCACTGTCCTAAGTGTCCAATGTCCAAAAAAATGCTCTTTTATGGGTTATTCAAGTGTTTATTGTACTTAATCCAGATCTAAAATAGAGATACGTCTGGTTTATCGTCTGTAACATTATTCTCGGTGCAGTTCGGAAGGAGAAAATGGTGCTTAAGTGCAATCGCTTGCCATTTGTCATTTACGCATCACAAGAGGCTTGTTGCGTTTGGTAGAGTGGAATGAAACCCTCGGGCAATCGGTTGATTCGAGGTGAATTACTGGAGAATTGACAATCAGCAGCTGAATTGCGCAAACAAATAGTTAAAAATCTGGCGCAAGACTTGTAACGTCTTACATTTCGGTTCTGAGTTTTAAGGTATTTCTGAGATATCACATCAGTAGGATTCGTACAACCGCATCAGGGATTTAAATCGCACGAATCGCAACTGCGAACTGACCCATACACATAAGTTAGCGGTCACAAATGTATAAAAGCCCAATCAAAACTGCTCAGCGTACCAAAATTTCACTTATTGTGCATGTGCGCTCGACAGCCTACATGCTAATTCGCCTAAGCCCCGTCTCCTCGTTTATAAGCTCTGGAACTGGACACACATGCAGATATGAGAGATCTGAACCAGCATGAGGGTTCTTGAACTGATTTTTCCATCCAATGGACAGTCACAGACAACATGCTTTCAAAAGTGTATTTTTCAAACGACATAAATAAATTCAAATTAAAACCATCATAAAATGCGACATCTGGAAGTTTAGTGGGACACATGTTCACGCACACAAGTCTTTCCAGTCTGAGAACAAAGCAGATGTTGTTCTAGACACTGATCAACCGGATGACTGGAAATCACATTATCGAACACACAAAAAAAACAAATCACGTCAAGCATAATCTCTGAATTTGAACACAAAAACCGTTAGAGGATGTTGAGAGAGTTAGTGTTAAGCTGTGAAGTGTCTTTACTGCTTTACAGTTCCTCAAACCAAAATGTCCTGAAGACAACAGATCCCATTGGATCCAAATGAATCGTAAGGACACGCCCCCAGACACAACTGGCACTTTGATTGGCTGATGATTTTTCTCGGAGCTTGAAAGGGTGGTTAACTACAACCGTGTAATTCCGTACTGTAGTACAGGAAGGATTCAAGTATGATGCCCTTTCTCGCATGGAATGATGTAATGTCAGACTCAACCTTGAAAGGAAGAAAAATTAAAACTTAAGTGCAACACGCAAGTGCAATAATGATGCTTCCCCAAAGCGAGAATCTATTGTTTTGACAGAAAGGGTGAGGTTGACGCCTCCCAGTTAAGGAGACGGCATGAAAAACTTGGCACTCATTCATTCCCAAATAAGGCCAGAGTGAGAGGAGTCAGAACTGAGGCGGGAAGTTCACTGGCTCCGCCCCAAACATTATGTCCTGTCATTGTAACAAAGGCTCCACCACGAAATGCAGACCAGTTTTGAGATGTTCGTCTCAATGACAACCAGCCGCAAGACTATCTGCCATATAGGTCGTCAGGATAATCTCGGCTCCGGCTTTCACTGTAGCCGTTATGGTCATTGTTATTGTTGTTGCTACGGTTAGACATATTCAAACCGCTCGGGGATGGGTGGTGTTGCACGACATCGGCTTGATGATCGGCAAACAAGTCTGGCTCAACCATAGGAGACACCCTCACGACCTCAGAGCGAGTTGTAAACTGTGGCGGAAGCGGGGCGCCGCTGGACCCTGATGGCCCAGGAAGTTCTAGAGAGTCTACCAAGGGTTCAGTGCGAAAAAGAGATGGGATAGCTAGTCCAGCAGGCGTTTCCGCGGTTGGGTTTCCCACCTGAGTCGTCCTGACCGAGGTCTGCGAGCCACGGTGAATCCGATGGCTGACCACGATGTTGTTTCCGAAGCCACCCATCGAGGCCATAGTAGTGCTGCGTTCCCGCTGGACCACGGCCGTCATTCCTCCTTCAGCCATTAGGCGGCGGATGCGAGACAGCGCGTCTTCTCCCGGACCCGGCTCGGCTGCTGAGTCCGCTAAGATAAACCAGACAGAACAGTGAGACGCTAGTATCAGATAACGACAAAACCAGACTGGATTCATTTCAGAACATGGGAAATTAGAGGGCAGATGTAAGATTGGCGGAGAAAGCTGGAGCAAACAGAATTAAGATGAGTCATTTATTTATGTTAATTATGTTTTATCTCAATAACACACACACACATATCTTGGTCTTAGTTGACCAAAGTAAAAAAAAAAAAAAAAACAGCCCAGCAACAATTAGGTCTTAGCGAGTTATCTATTATCTCTCCATGTGTGCACACTGGGGCCCATTAAACCGAGAAAACGAGGGTGCAAATTAAATTAGACCAGCTAACTGCAGGTAATAAAGCACTTGAAACAGTAATAACAGTGTAAAGCCCTCAGTAGGACACAACACAGATCTCAGAGAGGTCAGTTCAATCAATTTCACTCCATTACCTGTGTCAGACGACAGAGGAAGAGACAGGATGAGAAAGAGTGAGACAAAGCAGTTACCGTGATATGTGGGGGGCAAGTTTGTCCGGTTCAGCGACCCCTCTGAAACCGATGCCTGAATCGGTGTGTGTAACAGTGTGTGTGTCATCTCTGGGTGTGTGTGTCTCTCATTGCTGGTGCTGGCCACCTGAACCGCTGCAAGAGTAACACATTTGGCAGCTCTGAGTGGACATAATCAATATTACTGAACTTGGTTACAAAAAAAAAATGTAACGGGAGCGTTATAGATATCCGTTACAATCGCTATGGCCTTGAGCAAGACACTTCTGTCATTGACAGGTCTGTCATTAGTGGGATTACGGCTGGGCGATATATATATAATGAATATTCAAAATGATTGGCTGGAAATATAAAATTAAGAAATAATATTAATACATTGATTATGTGACTATTAAGTTTAATAAAATGTTAAGAAGTTAAAATATTTTATGTGAGAAACTTTAATGAAACTGATTCATGTACTTAAAATAAAAATATATAGAAGATTTTAATCACATTTAATACTGTGAATAAAAGTATTACAAATAAAAGTTTTAGGATAAAAAAAAAAAAAAAGTAAAACAAAGAAAAGTTATGACAAACAAATACTAAAAAATACTGAAAATCGTATCTCTGAGATTGTTTTAAAAATCTGTAATAAATTAAATTTTTTTTAGATCCCACTGAATATATAGCGGTTTAGTTTTTATGCATGTATATAAATAAAAGGTAATATCATTTTCCCATAATTTTTTACTGTATATTCGTTTCTGAATTAGTGGATCAAAAAAAACA